TGCGGGACTTCAATTATCCTAACATAACTCGTGGAGTCCTGTAGCTCAGTGGTTAGAGCACTCGCTTTGCAAGTGAGAGACCTGGGTTCAATTCCCGGCAGAGGGCGAAACCTTGGGCAAGTTTCCTTACTCCACACAGAGCCTAATAATAATCCCTCCAAAACCAAAACAATAATAAATTGGTCATTTTCAATCTACGACTGTTTGTGGAACATTGCTGTGCGCAATTGGCTGCCGCGTTCGCCCACAAATATACAGTCAATTCACTTTACAGTGTGTTCTGTGAAGCGCTTTGGGACGTCCTCCCGACGTGAAAAGCGCTATATCAAATGCAAGGATTATTATTATTATTATATAACAACAACAACTTGGATTTATATAGCACCTTCCACGCCAGACGGTGTCTCAGAGCGCTTTACAGTAACGGATCCCAGCGCCAAGCCAGAAGAAGGGGGAGGAAGGTAACCAAAGGCGCGGTCAAAGAGAAAGGTCTTCAGCAGAGACCTGAAAATAGGAAGAGAGGGGGCGAGGCGAAGGGAGTGAGGAAGGGAATTCCAGAAGCTCGGTGCATAGTGGCTGAAGGCACGGCCGTCGAGAGTGGAGCAGAGGATTTGGGGGACAAGACCCGGAGGAATGAAGGCAACGGGTAATGTTTTGAGGAGAGAGGAGGTCAGAGAGGTCGGGGGTGCAGATGAGTGGAGGGATTTGAAGACAAGGGTGAGGATCTTGAAGTCGATCCTCTCTGGGACAGCCAGAATAACAGTGTAAAGGGCAAGGAGGGGGAAGGATTCCTGAAATGTGTGCAGGAGAACTTTCTGGATCAGTAAGTTTCCAGCCCAACGAGAAAGGAAGCAGTGCTGGATCTAGTTTTGGGGAATGAAGTGGGGCAAGTGGAGCAGGTTTCAGTGGGAGAGCATCTGGTCAACATCATCAATAAGTTTAGAGTATTTATGGAAAGGGTCAAGGAACAATCAAAGGTGAAGATACTCAACCGGAAGAGGGCTAATTTCAATGAGTTAAAAAGGGACCTAGCCAAAAAAAGACCTGAAAAGAAAGATTGGCAGGTAAAACATAATAATCCCTCCAAAACAAAACAATAGTAAATGGGTCATTTTCAATCCACGATTGTTTGTGGGACACTGCTGTGCGCAATTGGCTGCTGCATTTCGCCCACAAATATACGGTCAATTCACTTTACAGTCTATTCTGTGAGACGTCGAGAAGATGTGAACAGCGCTATATCAAATGCAAGAATTATTATTATTAAAACAGCTAAAGCAATGGGAAGCCTTCAAGGAGATAGTTTGGGGACAGAACAAATACATTCCCACAAAGGGGAAAAGTAGGGCATCCAAACCTCCCTGGATAAATAAGGAAATTGGGATTAAAATAAAACAGAAAAAGGAAGTTTATGATAAAAGTCAGGTCCAACATGCAGAAGATAATCAAATAGAATATAGAAAGTACAGAGAGAACTGATAAAGGAAATAAAAGGGGCAAAGAGAGTGTATAAGAAAGATTAGTGGGTAATATAAAAGGGAACCCTAAGGTATTTTATAAGAATACAAAGAACAAAAGGTCAGTCAAAGATAGGGTGGGTCCAATTAGCGAACAAAAAAGAAATCTTGTGGAGGCAGAGGGCATCGGCTGATGTACTGAATGAGGACTTTGCATCTGTCTTCACAAAAGAAGAGGATGGAGCCAATGCCACAGTAAAGGAGGAGAGAAATGGGATAAAAATAAACCGAGAGGAGGGACTAAAAAGTTTGTCGGTGCTCAAGGTAGATAAGTCACCCGGTCCGGACGGGATGCATCCCAGGTTACTGAGGGAAGTAAGGCTGGAAATAACGGAGGCTCCGGCCACAATCTTTCAATCCTCCTTGGACACCGGGTGGTGCCAGAGGACTGGAGAGCTGCAAATGTTACTCCCTGTACAAAAAGAGACAAAAGGATAAACCCAAGAACGACAGACCAGTCAGCCTAACGTCAGCAGTGGGGAAACTTCCAGAGACTAATCTGGGACAAAATAAATTTTCACTTAGTAAAATATGGGTTAATAAAGGACAGTCAACATGGAATTGTGTCTAACAAACCGGATAGTTTTTTGATGCAGTAACGGAGAGGGTGGATGAAGGCAGTGCAGTTGATGTGGTTTATATGGAGTTTCAAAAGGCATTTGATAAAGTGCCACATAAGAGACTTGTAGCAAAATAGCAGTCCCCGGTATTAAAGGGACAGCGGCAGCGGAGACCGAGAGCAGAGAGTGCTGGTGACTGGAGGGAAGTGCAGTGGTGTCCCCCGGGGTCAGTGTTGGGGCCACTGCTGTTTGTGATCTATATGAATGTCCTGGACTTGGGTATAGGGAGGACAATTCCCAAGTTTGCAGATGATACTAAGTTAGGAAAAGCAGTAAACAGTGAGGAGGATAGTAACAGACTGCAAGAGGACATAGACAGACTGGTAACGTGGGCAGACACGGGGCAATGACGTTTAATGTGGAGAAATGCGAAGTGATGCCTTTTGGGAGGAAGAATGAGGAGAGGCAATATACGCTGATGGTCCAATCTTAAAGGGGGTGAAGGGACAGAGAGACCTGGGGGTCATACAGTAAATCTTTGAAGGTGGCCGGACAGGGAGATACAGCTGTTAAAAAAAACTTACACGATAATAGGCTTTATAAATAGGGGCATAGAATACAACAGTCAGGAAGTTCTGATGAACCTTTATATAAAACACTGGTGAGGCCTCAGCGAGAGACTGGGTTCAGTTCTGGGCCCCACACTTTAGGAAGGATTCAAGGCATTGGAGAGGGTGCAAAGGAGATTGACCAGAATGGCACCAGGAATGAGGGACTTCAGTTATCAGGAGAGGCGAGAGAAGCGAGGATTATTCTCCTTGGGGCAGAGAAGGTTAAGCAGAGACTTAATAGAAGTTTTCACTATGAGGGGATTCGATAGGGTGAACAGGGAGAAACCGATTGAAAATAGTTGTTAAAAGAAACAGAGGGGAGGGGAAATGTCTTCACACAGCGAGTTGTTGGGATCTGGAATGTGTTGCCTGAAAGGCTGGTGGAAGCCAATTCGATAACAAAATTAAGAGGAGATAATTATTTGGGGAGGACAAGTTTGCAGGATTAATGGGAGAGAGCGGGGAAGTGGGGTTGATCAGGGCTATGGGGAGAGAGCAGGGGAGTGGGGTTGATCAGGGCTACGGGGAGAGAGCGGGGGACTGGGGCTGATCAGGGCTATGGGGAGAGAGTGGGGGAGTGGGGTTGGTCAGGGCTATGGGGAGACAGTGGGGTTGATCAAGGCTATGGGGAGAGAGTGGGGGAGTGGGGTTGAATTGGAAGATCTTTTCAAAGACCGGCAGACACGATGGGCCGAATGGCCTCCTTCTGTGCTGTAAAATTCTATGATTCTATGACATATACACACACAGCAGAAACCTGTTAAACCAGACACATTGGACTATTTTGTCCGGCTTAAGTGGAATCCGAGGTTAGCTGAAGTTGTCTCACCTCTTCCTGCCCAGCAGAGGAGTGGCGCTTCCACCCTCCCATTGCGGTTCCCATTGGATGACAATTAGCAATGGCTCCAAAGTGTAAGATTCTGTAATTAATGTGTTAAATACAATATTTGCGATGTTTATTTGAGACATATGGTCAATCTCATACGATGGAAGCTGGTTGTGACTAGCTTCGGAGAACAAACAAAAGACTAGTGATAGGTCATCTTAACGAGCTGTATAAACAGAGATCGATTCGGAAGAGAATCAGAAGAAAGAATTGAAGGAGAGAGGGATCAAATTGGATGTGCCACAATACCTGGACACTTTTGGGTAATCGAACTGAGAAACGTACAACAATAGTTGGATACCCTTGGATGGACATATATATTTGGATTAAAAAGACACATTAAATTGGACATTGCTACTCTTATCTCTTCCACAGCATTTGATTAGATCAACTTAAATTGTTGTGAGCTATACGTGGATATGTAAGCATTATTGTGATGTATTCTTTTGATTACTCATAATTATTATTCATCTGAATTAATAAACATCTATATTTGTGTACAACGTTTGTGTCAGTCCTTACTTCACCACAGGGTCACAAATTTAAATGAACCCTTGCAGAGGTGATTCACATCCTTGGAGACGCTTGTGAATTGATAGACTGCCCCAGTCACAAGCGGCTCCGCCCGGCAATCTCCTCCCATTCTTTCCTTTGTTCTTTCCTATTCCTCTGCCCAACTCCAGCTGCTTGTGAATGGCTGGAGTCCACTGTCAATCAATCTTAGTCTCCTCCCACCTCCACCCCGGAGCCGCTCATGGCTGAACGGAGCCTCTGGACACACCGACACACAGTGAATACAATCAGGGTAACCAGCACGGTCATTTTAAGCTAATTTTTGTCAGAATCAACCAGTGAATTTAAAACAGGTAACAATACAAATGAGTCGTGGTTGGGGGATTTATTTGATTTACCCGGTGTGTGGGGTTAACTGGGGTCCGGCTAAAGCAGATTCCACTGTGTGTGTATGTATACATATATATGTGTGTAGATATCTTCAACCATAGAATCATAGAATCATAGAATTGTACAGCACAAGAAGAGTCCATTCGCCCCATCGAGTCTGTGTGGCTCTTTGAATAGAGCAATTAATGTCAGTCCCACTCCCCAGCCCTTTCCCCATAACCTGCAAACCCGTCCTCCTCAAATACCCGTCCACCGTGTTTTTAAAAGTAGTTATCGAATCGGCCTCGACCTCCCTTTCGGGCAATGCATTCCATCTCTCCTCTACTCCTTCAACCTTACAATAACAATATGACACGAGGTATTGTCCCAGAGCTTACAGCTTGATCTGCCACACAATCTTTGTAAAGAGCTTTGAGATGTACATGAAAGGCACTATATAAATACAAATTGTTGTTATTGTTTAAATGTGATAAGCAAGGATTATTTATCAGTTATAAATTTATGGAGCATTTGTTGCACTTACAGAATTTCTTTGTCTTCCATTGCAAATGCCTTCACAGTTCGGACATTTCCAAGCGCCTCATCAGCCACACCAGTTGCCTTCGCCACCTGCAGGAAAAAGGATACGAGTATCACACAAGTTACATGTTAAGCAGACATCAGAGGAACCCTGTGCTATATACAGGTTGCTGTTTCCAAGACAAAAAAATGCGGAGACACAAGAGATCCTGTAGTGTATTGGTTAGAGCCCTCGCCACGCAAGCGAAAGAACCTGGGTTTGATTCCCGGGCAGAGCAAAACCTTGTTCAAGATCCTGGTCCTCACCTACAAAGCCCTCCATGGCCTCGCCCCACCCTACCTCTGTGACCTCCTAACTCCTACCAAGTCGCCCGCTCCCTCCGCTCAGCCGGCTCTGGCTGCTCCACGTCCCCCAACCCACCCTCCCCACCATTGGTGGGAGAGCCTTCAGCCACTCTGCCCCCAACCGCTGGAATTCCATCCCCGAGTCACTCCGTCTCACCCCCTCCTTAGCCTTCAAGTCCCGCCTCAAGACCCTCCTCTTCGACCATGCCATCGGCCACCCCCCTTCCCCTCCCTTCTCCCCGACCCCAACTCGGGTCTGAAATGCTGTACACTGTCCAGCGCCTTGGGACATTCTCCCGACGTGAAAGGCGCTATACAAATGTAATCTTGTCGTTGTTGTTGTTGAGCTACAGGATTCTAACCAAGAAGTGTGTTTGCAAACCTGTTCCTGTGCTGTTCGTGAGAGCTTGCGAAGGGAAGAGCCCAGTAATGCTCCGGTACCAACCAATACTGGCATCACCACCACAAGCAGCCCGGTGAGTTTTGGTGAAACAAAATATAGAGACACCAGGCAGCCAAGGGTTTGTGTGGCACTCCTCAGTCCCTAGAAAGCAAAACCAATCACTTTAAGCACAAGATTGCCTCAATACTCGCAGCTTACTGTAAAGAAATGTAAAGTTATACGTTTTGGTAATAACAGAGAAAGATAATATATAAATGAAAGTTCTTAAATTAAGTGCAGATCCAAACACTGTATAGCACAGAAACAGACCATTTTATACATATTCGCATAACATAATCCTGAATAATATTCCATTATAAATTTCTTATGTTGTTATATTCCAACAGTATGTACAGTAATCAGCCATTCCCTCCTAGATATTCTTCAGAGCTCAAATTCCAGAGGATTGGTAAATAGTAATTGTAAATCCCATCTTTAAACAAGATTCTAAGAAAAAACTGTTCAACCACAGACACTGGTGTAAGCCTAACACCTTGTGGGAAAAGAAGACACTTTGGCTGATTTGATCCTATACTTCCAGAACACATACCTACCGTCTCCCCATCACAGAATCATTAACACGTGGCAATTCAGTATTATTATTAATTTTTTTATAAATGATTTGCAGATTGGCACCTGTCAAAGAATCTAAAATTGGAGGTAAGACTAAATTAGGAAGAGTAATACATGGTAAACATACATACATATGTACATGCTGAGACATGTGGCTACGGACAGTTTAAAGATGCAGTTTATAGTTTATAGTTATCAAGTTGGGCAGAAGGATAGTCGGAAATATTTGTTGAAAAGAAATGACTTTGCAAAGAAGAGGTTTCTTGAGTCTTGATTGACCCTTCAACACAATGTTCCCCAATATCAAAACAAAGGAATATCCTTTTCCTGCCTGATTTAATCTAATAAACAATGTGTGATTTGGCATTGTTGAGGATTCCTTTGTGAGCCCTCTCTGTCCCTCTTTAGATGATGTGAATACTGCTGACCTGAGCGATGACCAATTTGAAAGATGATTTGAAGTCTTGGATGTCAGTGGTTAGTCGGCTGACCAGCTGTCCTGTTTTACTGGCATCGAAAAAGGCAACGTCCTGTCTGTCATCACAATGTCGGCAGAAAAAGACACCAGTTAGAAAGTGCTCAAAAGATTACTGAAACTCTGCAATTTAACGACAAACAGAATCAGAACAATAGATAAACAGGGTGGTGGGTGATGTCTGTTCTCAAGTCTACCAGCAATAAGGCCAACTGATCACATTTCCCTTCTCTCCGCTGT